CATGTCTTTTGTTATATCATCCAACATGGTGGTCATGTCTTTTGTTATATCATCTATTTTACATCATATTTTATATTAAAATTCCTTTCAGCAAATATGAAGGAACAGAATACCAACCCTCAGACAGTTCCATATGGATTTGGTTGCACATGTGGTTCTGAAAAAGTCATATTTTGTTATAACAAGAGAACTGGACAGAAAACATGGAGCTGTTCTGGCAAATGCTTTGAGGTATGTAATGTAATTTGCACAGTCAATAGTGAATAAAAAACTAGACCACTTTTAGCCAGACCATTGTCCTTATCGTAACCTTGGCCAAGTATAAAGACTATATACAAGATTTTTGCATAGGTAGAAATACAAAAGATAATGATTAAGATTTGGAACTTTTTTCTTTGCTGGTAAACAATATTATTTTGGATCTTGGATTGCAAAATATTTTGCTTCTTGTCTGACCATCCACCATCAGTCAAATAGCTATAGTTTGTTAGTAATGTTTTTTAATGCTTTTCATGGTTTTCACAGGTTGTTTTATAAGCTTCTTACTTTATCAGTTTTTAAAAATATATAGTAAAACAGAATAATAAAATAAAAATATAGAAAAAAAGAATAATAATAATTACAGATAATTAGCTGATTAGACTAGCTCAGGAAAGGGCATGTTGAAATTATAGTAAAATTATAAAGTTTGAAGGAAATGAGTTCAAAACTCACAAATTCATAATTTTTGAAAGGTGTGAATTTGTATGATAACCCAGGCAACGTGCCTGTCAATGAATGTTTTGTATAGGAAAACCAATAGGTTTGAGTGCAATTTGGATAAAATATCATGCCTCCGGCTCATGCTATTTGAAAATCTTGATTTTGAACTGCACTTGTGCCATTTTTCACAATGCATGAGAACCCATTTCATTTTCTTTAATATGACCATCAACAATTTTTTTATCAAAAATTTTCTTCTTTTCCCCCCACTGTGATTTGGCTTTTTTGCAGTGATTAAAAAAAAATCAACTATTAGCAGACCAATCACAATAGAGAATTTTTGATGGTCATATTATTACCATTTTGATTTTGGAAAAGTTCATTAAATTATTCACAAATCACGCAATCCAAAGTATTGAAAAGAGTATTCCTTTATGTCCCAAATAAATAAAATTCATTCAAAATAGCGAAAATAAAAGGTGTCTTCTTTTTAGAGTGTATTAATTAATTAATTAATTTATTTATTTATTTATTAATTAATTTATTTATAGCAAGTAACACTAACTTATCTCTGTTCAGCAAATGCCTATTAAGAAACACTGACCAAACCGTATTGTCTCACGATTTCGCCTAGCGGATCGAAAATT